TACCTCGGCGTCTGCTTGCAGCAGGATACAGCCGATGGCAAAGTCCGAAGCGTCACAGACGACGCTGGTAGGGCGATCAGGGTCTGGTAGTGCCAGTATTGATGCATTCAGGAGGCTGTCTTTGACCTCGTCAAAAGCACCTGATGTTCGGTGCTCCAACTCCATTCCATATCCTTTTGAAGAAGATTGGATCATGACCGGGCCATTTCTGCGTAGGTTACGCTGTACTTGTGCAAGGAATTGGCAGGACCAAGCCACTTACACAAGGCCTTCTGGTGCACTGGAACCGGCCAATCTGCAATAACCTTGACCTTAGCAGAATCCGCTCGAAGGCCACGCTTCCAGATGAAGCACCCTAAAAAGGGAATATCTTCTGCACCAAAGATGCACTTGTCTGCATGAGTAAATAAATTCTAATCAATTTTTGTTGGAAACATCACACAACCTACTCAAAATGAAATTAACTATGATACAATAGTGTACTGTTACTAACAATGTACGTATCGTCTGGCTCCTGGTGTCGACCTCTTGAGTTGTTGCTAGCCTCTCCGTCGTTCACCAAGTCTTCCTTATTACCCACATATATGAACATACTTACTCTATGTAGCCAATACAAAGCCCACTTTTGCAATCACAACATCACATTTTGGCTTATCAGATGAATGACCCTGATGAAGTGTAGACATGTCTTTGAGCCAACAAAAATGCTGTATTTGCAATTCACTTTGTAAGTATGTTTCTAATATGGATATTTGTGATGAATGGTTATTATCGCTTCAGCTTCAGGACTTACTTTAAGATCCTTATGAAAACTTCATTTGACTTGCCACAATAATTGAGCGATTATTATAAAGACACCACGAGACTCATGTTATTCTACTAAGCTGTCATATAGAATTATAGAAAAGCGGATCAAAACATTGGCATCATTGAGCTATATAGGGCTCTATTTTGGTTCTCGATTTGTATCAAAAACACACCGAGTCGTGAATATCATTTACAAAATAATAAAGATAACATCGTGATATCTCAATCATCCTTTTATGTATAAAAAGCATCACATGACTAAAATTAGTACTGATTAGATTATAAATGTTCCTAAATAACGGATTTTCCCGATCAGAGTCCAGTCCCGAATAGAGCCTTAAAAATAAATTTTACAATATCCACTACTCCGCTATAATGACTTCAGATGACCTGACAAA